GATATTGCAGCTTGTTAGTCCCATCTGGTAGCAATTATGACAGAGCAAATGTTTTCTAAAACACATTAGGGGATAGAGATGTAGCTCAGTGGTATTGTGTGTGCTTAGCAAGCATGAAACCCTGGGTTTAATCCCCAGCACAAAATATAAATAAAACACATTAGATTTAATCATTCATTGAAGCTGTTTTACTAATTAGTAAAGTTAAACATTTTCTAGATTGCTCTAAACCATCCATTTTCATTATGTGGATTGAATTTAAGTGCTGATCCTTGCCTTCCATAAAATGATTATATAAAGTTACTGGTTATTAATTCTAACTAATACATATTAATGTTTGTGATTTTGATTTTTCCCAAAAAGGAGACACCTTGACTCAGTTAAACAAACATTTAATAACACTTGCACGGGGTTAGTTGTTAAGCATAATAACAATGTGAATGAACGAATAAGTTAAATTACTATTTGAGCTTGTAATGGGAGATACAGACACAAACCTAATTAATATAGGGCAGGGTCTGATAGAAATAGGAATTGTTACCAGAATACTAAAAATCAATATTAGTTCTTGTGAGGAAAATCTGGAAAGATGTTCAATAAAGAGAAAATGTATCCAAATTCAACCTTGAATTAATTATGAAGGTGGGGAGGGTTTCCATAAGCAGAAGTGGGTAAACAGAAATACCATAAAGGCACAAAACAATGGGATTCAAGGACATGTTTGAGTATTAGTGCCCTGATAACACCTAAACACAAAAATAATTTTATGACAGGGGTAACATAAAGTTACACATAGCAACATTTTGGAGTAGAAGACCCTTTTGAAATACTACAGAAGTCTGTAAAAAGTTTAAGAATTTATTTTCATCCAAATAATTATTTTTATTTTATTTTTAACATACCTTTTTGGAAATCTTAAAAAAACAAACATTTTGAACAGTTGGCTAACACGCATGAACTAACACTCATTCAGTTTTTAAAGTACGGATAATGTCCGTATTAACATTATAATGACTCTGTACTACAGATTGACATGGTACATCGTAACAACTCCGAAGGATTCTTCCTTGATGCATCTCGACACGTCCTTGAAGCACCTCAACATGGACTGGAAAGGAGGCACTTGGAAGCAAATCAGAATGTACACTAAATAAAACAGTCAATTTTGGGGTGTGGATGGAAAGGGGGTCCATTTAAAAAGTTGTTTTACTTTGAATTTCCCTCCCAGAATAGATCAGCAAATAAATGAAATCAACTAAAAATAAAATGCTGTGCTTTTGGTAGTTATGCTGTTTAGTGTAGAAACTTTAAAAATTTGTCATTAATTCTCTATATATTGTATCATACACAGTCACTAATTCTCTTGTGTATTGTATCATACACAGACTAGAGATTTTAAATGATATTTAGCCCAGTTTTGCATTTATTTTCTCTTATTAGCTTTGTTGCTACAGTTTTTGTTTCAACAAAACAGTTACATCAAGGACATTTTCTTGTCCTGGACATTAAGGATATTTTCTTGACATTAATTTTAACCTGATTTCTTAAAGTCTTGGTCTATCAAAAAGGAAATGTTTTAAATTAGATTTTTT